ACTGCGGCAAATTAAATGTCCTTTAATGTGTCATATCCATCAGTCATTGGGGTATATTTAACTATTATTAGAACATTTAACACACAAATGAGCTAAATATCATAAGTGTTGGTGCAATAATCAACGGCTCAAGGAGATTGATGAACACTGAAATCCTTTTTATACTAAGTCAGGTTTTCCTGCTTTCACTTTCTGTAACCAAACTGCTCCTTTTCATTCCATCTAATATGAACTGAATGATGCAAGGTGGTGAGAAAATAACAAGGTGCTACGATGGAGGATGAGAGACAAGACAGAGAGAGGATGTGAAGCTGCAGCTGTCTGAGATCTAAACAGGTAAGCTGCTAAAATAATAATCATCTGACACAAGAAGGAAGCTAACTGTGGCAAAGCCGTGTCAATCATCTAAATGGTTGACATCAACACTGTCTCATCCAACAGCTTCAGAAAAATTAGATAAATGAAGAGAAAACTCAGTCTTTATGAAGGCTGAATGAAAACGAAGCTAACATGATGCTGTGGTTAAAAGTTTTATCCACACTGTTAACAAAATCTGGTCTAATCTAGTTTTACTTTATGTTGAGATCATTTTACAGAGGTATGTCAGTCCACTTCACTGATGCAACAACATAAAAGCTGGGTTCAAGATGGTTTTCAGATTGTCAGGATTCCCACATGTTTGTGTTTTTGTTACTGTCCCTCTCTGTGTGATGCAGTGATTCGGCCTGTCATCTAACGGGGAGGTAATTCTTCTATCCTGACCTTTAAACCGCCACAGAAGGGAAGATTAAACAAATTGTATTGGCAACCACATGTAGCTAAGACAAGAAAAGATTTTCGATCATCATGGGGGATTGAACAAATTATAAAAACATACAGATCTGAGTCTTTTTAAGCATATTATTGATTTAATAACATGACCAAAATATTAAAGAGGAAAAAGTGTCTCTATTCTAAAATAACTTTTAAGTGGCCACTGGAGCTATTTGAGATGGATAAAGCTTGGTTTATGCTTGATGCATTTACTTTCCGCTTGGTGATGCGGCTCGCGGATGGAACGCTCTTCACAACTCGCAGCATTTATGGTTCACGCGGCTTGTCTCTGCGGTGAGCCAATATCCTCCCAAACTGTAGGGGGCAGCATGGAGCTCTACAGCATGCATCCAACACTTCACCATTGTAGAAGTAAAAATGACTGTTGTTTACAACATGGCATTCCAGCATTTTTAACAGCGTCCTCGTCCTTTCCGACAGTGCGAGCTATTCCTCTCCTAGAATTGTTAACATGTTGATCACGGTGATCTTTGAGAGCTGAATCATACAAATGTCTGTATTTACGAACCTCTGCCATACTGGTTCTCGCCAGTCCACCATGTTTTTCCGCGTCCGACCGTCCGCGTGGTTAGAAATTTTCCTAGGTGCGCGTTGCGGAAATTTTGGGCCGTGCGGAGGCACGGTGGAGGGGTGTGGTTGTTAAAATGAAGTAATTTCGCCGCGCGGAGCCGTGCGGACCTCGCAGACGCGTCAAGCATAAACCAACCTTTACACCACTCAGTCTAGCGTTAGCAGTAGCTCAGACTTGCGTTAGCAGTAGCTCGGTCTAGCGTTAGCAGTAGCTCAGTCTAGCGTTAGCAGTAGCTCGGACTAGCATTAGCAGTAGCTCAGTCCAGCGTTAGCAGTAACTCAGTCCAGCGTTAGCAGTAGCTCAGTCCAGCGTTAGCAGTAGCTCAGTCTAGCGTTAGCAGTAGCTCAGTCTAGTGTTAACAGTAGCTTGGACTAGCAATAGCAGTAGCTCAGTCTAGCGTTAGCAGTAGATCGGACTAGCATTAGCAGTAGCTCAGTCCAGCGTTAGCAGTAACTCAGTCCAGCGTTAGCAGTAGCTCAGTCCAGCGTTAGCAGTAGCTCAGTCTAGCGTTAGCAGTAGCTCAGTCTAGTGTTAACAGTAGCTTGGACTAGCAATAGCAGTAGCTCAGTCTAGCGTTAGCAGTAGCTCAGTCTAGTGTTAACAGTAGCTTGGACTAGCAATAGCAGTAGCTCAGTCTAGCGTTAGCAGTAGCTCAGTCTAGCGTTAGCAGTAGCTCGGACTAGCATTAGCAGTAGCTCAGTCCAGCGTTAGCAGTAACTCAGTCCAGCGTTAGCAGTAGCTCAGTCCAGCGTTAGCAGTAGCTCAGTCTAGCGTTAGCAGTAGCTCAGTCTAGTGTTAACAGTAGCTTGGACTAGCAATAGCAGTAGCTCAGTCTAGCGTTAGCAGTAGCTCAGTCTAGCGTTAGCAGTAGCTCAGTCTAGCATTAGCAGTAGCTCAATCTAGGTTAGCAGTAGCTCAGTCTAAAACTAGCTGTAGCTCAGCTTATTTGTTCTGTGGTTGGCATTACTGCGACCAGCGTTTATAGATTCCTGACACTGACGTGTGTTGGAACATGCTGATGTAAGCATGTGTGGCTTATCAGAAGCTTTTCTAGAACCAACCGTCTCTCCCTCGCATTTACAAGACTTACTTCGCATAGAAAGCAGTCAGACATGAGTTTTTGGTATGCTACATTTGACCACCCAAGCTGCATTTATTCAACAACAAGATAAGCGTGGCTTTACATCCTACTGCTCTAAAGGGGGAAGATTAGGGGTACAGCAACTTAGTCTTTGTAACTGTAAATGTCTTCTTTAATTAACATGGCTAACAATTATCGCCCAACCACCAATCATATAACCAGCTCAGTTTTCATGAAAGGAAGATCTAAATCATTTAGTTGAATCCAGCATCAATGCTTTTGTACTCAAAACAAGTTTTTTGCTTTTTTAATGAGATTTTAAAACTGTCAACACTGAAGGATGTTTCTGTACATTTCCATCCATCTCTCAATCTGTTGCTTATCCAAAGGTAGTTCCCCAAAGTTTAACTGTTCCAGGAGGGAAACAGCCATTCCTCTCCTCAGCAACACCACAGCTCCACTTGAGGACCCCGTGCGGTTCTCAGATGAATAATACCTCCAGTGGTTTGTGTCTGCTCCAGGGCTTTAAGCCTAAAAGAGAAGACCCGGAAGGATCATAATCTGATGTCCGAACCACCTCAGCTTACTCATTTGATGCAGAGGGGCAGCGGCTCTCCTCTGAGCTTCCCCTGAGTGAATGAAATCTTTGCCTCTTAATGTTTTTTTATTTCATCGTATCTGTTAAAGATCTGCAGATACATCCAAAGCACAGAGCATGTGTTGGTTTAGCACTTTTACCCTTTCAGCAAATCGATGTGGTTACAGCAGACCCTCCACCAAAAGGTTTTGAGCTCTTTAGCTTGTCTTCTTGTTCCTCGTGCTTTTAAAACATTTTATAAACTCAAGCATCAGGCAGAATTAGAAACTAGCTGAGCTCATTGCTGCTCTCAGAAGGATAAACCTGGACTCTAGTGAAACACGTTTCATCTTTTTATTGCCAGCAGTTTGGAGAATCCAGTATAAAGCCATGATTTAGTTTGCTTAGATTGGTTAATGACATAAATAAATGGGGAATCAGTTTGACTCAAGATCTCTTTTCCAAAAGGAACAGATGTTTTAAATCAACCAGAAAAAGTTCTCTCAGCTGCCAAACTTATATTTTTACACCAATCCAGCCAACATAATCACAATTAGACTGCAGAAGTCAGCCAGAAGGGAAGTTATCAAGATGATCATAGCTGTACATATAGATCAGTCAGTCATGACGATGGATGTCCAGGTTTCCCCCCTGGTGACTCAGGCTGAAGCCCTGAGGACTCCTGATGGGGCTTTAACTCTTATTCCAGCTAAGTGAAGCATTTCAGAACTCTGGTTTATCTGCCGGAGGATCAAAGAACAAAAAAGCCGCCTGGGAGCTACGAGGAGCTGAGACTCTGCTCCTCCGAGATTCTCCTCTGCATTGCAATGCCGCGCATGACAAACAACCAGCCAGACGCCTTTCTGAACGGGAAAGCAGCCTGATTTCAGTCTGCACAGCTATGCGACGGCCCCGGCATGTACGCTGGTACAGTAGACGATCTGAGCAGTGTGTAGGACCGCTGGTGTGAGCTCATTGATGGAGAGTGCCACAATTCTCTGCTCAGTGTCACATTCCACGTTTAAATAAGCGTAGCTTTACACTTAAACAATGAATGAATGAGTGACTGCACTGGTTTTAAATGAAAATTGACAAAAAATACTCTGAAATGATTCGACTCACACACGTTTGGTTCCATCAGAGAGTTGAATGGAAGGTTTGGACCTCACAGCAGCACCGGTTCTGTGTGTGTTTAGATGAAGGAGGGGATGAATCTTGATTAATGTCGGTTTGTGAAGTCAAACGTGTGATTGAGGGACTGAAGCACTTGCAGCGTTTCACCAGCAGGTTCCCCAAATCAAAAAATGATGGATAAGATGTCCTGCACCCCCTCATCCCCTGCTGTCCTCCTCTATTCCTCTGTAATTAGGAATAGAGGGACACACACACACATATAGAACACATGCATGAACAGGAATTGACCGGGGGTGCTCCCCCCCCACCCTCACCCGCTGCAGCCAAACTGAATTCATAAAATAATGGCATAACTATCGCTGCCATACAGTGAGGCAGGTATTCTGAAGTTGTTGGTTCTGTTGACATGCAGAGCCATAAAAAGACCAATGAAAAGCTGCTTGGCCACACAGTGGAAATGAAACCCCTTCACTTGCCCATGCAGGAGCCTGGATGAAGAGGGATTCCTCCCAGCCTGCTTGGTGCTCTTACACACGCCTACATTCACATACAGTCTCTGTATCCTTATTGTTGTTGGGGAGAAAGAGGTGCTTTATGACCCCCATGAAAGTGGAGATTAGATCTGTGAGCCTCTAAAATCTGATTTCCATTGATCACAGGGAACACCGGTTACCTCATCTGCTGTGGCAACTTGTCTTCTACCTGTTAAAACCACATGCATGCTGGGCTGCAACAGTTCCACAAAAAGCAAATGAAAAGAAGAGAGTTGGAGCATTTTCCTGGATCTGGCCGAGCCTACCTACCTTGCAGCGAGTCTATGTTCCAGAGACATTGGAGCACATATGTGGTGCGTCTTCACACGATGAGAGGGAAGCGGCTGACAGTCATGCAGAGGTGTGTCTCATCTGAGGACGGAATGGAAAAGCAGGATCCCTCCTCTGTTTTTTCTCTTCCTTTCTTATGTTTCCCAAAGCCCTTAAAGGAATGGAGCACTGACATAGGAGGAGGAGGAGGAGGAAGAGGAGGAAGAGGAGGGTGAGGAGGAGGAAGAGATTGAGGAGGAGAAGGAGGAAGAGGAGGAGAGGGAAGGCTGAGGAGGGAGCAGTCTGCTTGCCTGCTGTGGATCACCTGGAGCAGTGTGGGGCTCCGCATTTACTCCTCCACTGCAGCAGTGTGAGGCAGCGGCGGAACTGCATGTTGCTCCCACAGATCGTCGTAAAACAAGGACATGGAGTTCTCCATCTGCTGGATTCAGGATTCTGCAGCTCCGGCGCTCCACACGCTCCTCTCTCAATCAGCATGCACGCTCATGCCGTCCCTCTGCTCTCTGCATCTCTGTTGTTTCTGCCTTTGCCTCACACTCTTCTCCCTCAAGAACAGGTTCCGCTCTGAAGCCCAGCTGATTCCTCAGCCCTGTTTCCTGGCTCTGCATCCTCCAAATCAAGTGGTGCGTGTGCTCATAAATCTGGTGCTTTTGATCCCAACATTAAAGCTTCATTCATTATCACCTGCAGTAGCATCCTTCTTTAACCAAAACCAAAAAAATGTTGGAGAAAGTCAAACAAAAGTGAACAGCGAGCCCCCTAGTGTCACCACCTCCACGCTCTTCACCGGGCCCTCGATGCCTATCACTCACTTCCTCTCATCCAAACAAGAGCTAAAATTTCCACCAAGCAGAGAACTTGATCTCCAGGTTTAACTGCCCTCACATTCCCCGCACGTCCTTCATCGGCCTCTTCATCCTACAACAAAGGCTGAGAGACTTTCCAAACCGGGGGAATAAATACAGATTCAGGAAACAGATCATATTGATTTTAGGCCTAATGTAAACTACTTTGTATGCTGAAAAGCAAAGATGCATACTAGAGAAAAATGAGTCTCTCTCCTCCTGAGATGAAAAAGATATGTGAGCAACCGAGGAGGCAGATTAGCACTTTAATAGAGAAACGGTTTCAGAGTTGTTGTGTTCGCTCCTGCATGTGCACTGAAGACTTCTGATCTTTAGGGAGGAGTTTAATAATAATAATAATAATAATGCATTGAACTTATATAGCGCTTTTCTAGACACCCAAAGACGCTTTTCACACACTCTCACATTCACACACTGCTAGTGGTGGTAAGCTACTTGTAGCCACAGCCACCCTGGGGAGGTCTGACAGAGGCGAGGCTGCCATTTGGTGCCGTCGGCCCCTCTGACCACCACTAACACAGGCAAGTTGGGTGAAGTGTCTTGCCCAAGGACACAACAGCAGGATACCCCTGGCGGTAGCTGGAATCGCACCCATGACCCTCCGATCATGAGGCAACCCGCTCTACCACCTGAGCTACTGCTGCCCCAGTTTAGATCTAACTCCGGTCCTGGTTTTTATAAACACAAGATTAGCTACAAATGTAAAGTTGTGCTAATTTGAAATGGATAAAAAATGTTTAAAGCCCAAGAAAGCTAAACTTTCTGAATTAGATCTTGTGTTTTTCTTTCAAAGGTGCTGAACACTCGTTTAATCATTACTTCTGCAGTGCTCCTTAGTAGGAATTAATGCCTTGTAAGTTGTTCTCATGGGAAAGAAAACACTGATGCACCATTTCCAGGAACTAGCAGGGAGCCAGATGACAGCTGAGCTTCAGACGGCAGGTTTTGGAGTCTCATTTCTTGATATTTGGACGTCTCTCCTCTGATTGGCTAACAGCAACATGACTCTACCACTGACTGTTTGCTCTGCAACGTTGATGTTTTATCTCCACTAATAACACAAGCCTGGAGGAGTTCTGCTGTGTGGTGGAATCGCTAATGCTAACGGTTAGCTTCTACTAACTTTTTCTCTGCTGTTTCCTGGACGCTGAACCAACTACAGCCTTTCTTGATGTGAGTCAAGATGGGTGAGTCCATGAATGTTAGTGACAGTGTGATGTAGATCGGTCAGGATTTTCTAATCTAGTTTTACCATCTGTTTTCTATCAGAAGCTAATGCAGGAGATAGGTGTAGGAGACTATTTTCTTGTTCAGCCTGCATGAAAACGAGTGACCGGTGATAATCAGAAATAAGATTTCAAAAATGTTTTTTCAGTGTTCCACACCTTTAAGCGAGGCTCGTTTGTAAAAAAACATTGCAAACATTGGCTTACATTCTCAGATGTTAGTGTAATTACAACAACTTTTACAACACAAATGTAATTTACTGTTTCAGATGCCAAAGTTTTTCAATGGGTTTCAAAATATAACGTTTACCTCCAGACTGTGCAGTGACGCAGTGGTTAGAGCTGTTGCCTTGCAGCAAGAAGGTCCTGGGTTCACTTCCCAGCCTGGGATCTTTCTGCATGGAGTTTGCATGTTCTCCCTGTGCATGCGTGGGTTCTCTCCGGGTACTCCGGCTTCCTCCCACAGTCCAAAAACATGACTGTTAGGTTAATTGGTATGTCTAACCTGTCCTTAGGTGTGAGTGTGTGCATGGTTGTTTGTGCTGTGTGTCTCTGTGTTGCCTTGCGATGGACTGGCTCTCTGTCCAGGGTGTACCCCACCTGGTTGCCCATTGACCGTTGGAGATAGGCACCAGCCCCCCCCCCCCCCTCCCCGTGACCCTACATGGACAAGTGGGTTCAGACAATGGATGGATGGATGGAACTTTTACCCCCGTCAAAAAAAGTATATCGTTGCTATCTAAGCTCAGGGTTGGTAAAGTTTGTTTAAAAAACAAACTAGTTCAAAGTTAAGTTCATACATTTTAAAACGAACTAGTTTGTTTTTTAGTTCATAATTCAAAAAATTTTGAACTAAGGTCACTGTTCCAAAAACGAACATATGTGTATGTATGTATATATATATATGTGTATATATGTATGTATATATGTATATATATATATATATATATATATATATATATATATATATATATATGTGTGTGTGTGTGTGTGTGTGTGTGTATATATGTATGTATATATATAATATGTATGTATATATATAATATATATAATATGTATATGTATATATATATACATACATATATATACATATATACATATATTATATATATACACATATACACATACATACATACATACATCATACATATATATATATCACATATATATACACACACACACACACACACACATATATATATATGTATATATAGCATACATATATGTATGTATATATGTACATATTTATGTATATATATAACATACATATACTATATATATACATATATACATATGTATGATATATTTATATATTTATGTATGTATATATCATACATATGTATATATATGTGTGTATATATATATATATATATATGTATATATATGTGTGTATATATATATATATATATATATATATATATATGTATGTACACATATATGTATATATACATATATATTTACATACATTTATATATATATATATATATATATATATATATATATATATATATATATATATATGTATGTATGTATGTTCGTGCAAAACATTAAAAATGTATAATCTTTCAGTTAAGTCCCTTTTCAATTTTTCTGAATGAACTTTGACTCCTGCACACAGCATAGATGTAGAATAGTAGATGCTGCACCAACCACTACTCGGGTGGACTGGCCTATCTGGCATTCTGGCATTGTCCCGGAGGGCCACGTAGCCAAGTGGGCCCCTTGCCCAGCTTTGGCCGTCCCAAACCAAGCCCCTGTCTCACATGCGGTTATAGAGACAAGTCCGCGAGCAGCACACACACAACACCCTGTCCCTCCCCCCACATTTGGCGGGATAGACGAGTCGTGAGCAGCAACCTCCCCTGCCGAGGGCCGACGGTTCATAATAATGCCAGGGCCCAATTTTGGTCCCAGTCCACCACTGCTGCTACTGCATATGTTTGGCCACATTTGTGGGTTTTATTTTTTATAAACTCTTTGGTTAACAGGATATTTTTGCTAGGCATTAGCTCCATGAAAGCTCCGTGGAGATCTGGAGCTAAAACGGTGAAAGAACGCGTTCATAAACCCGTTCACGCACGTCAGGACAACCACACTCACTTTTACATTTGTCAGGCAAAATACGAACAAATTCAGTTCACGTTCACGAAAAAAAACGAACAAATTCACGAATGATCGTTCAAGGAACGCGTTCGGGCACAACACTGTCTAAGCTACTGACAAAATGAAAGTATTTATCTCAGCTTCTCTTCTGAAGTTTGGGTAAATTCTTGTCCAAACCTGCTGTCAGGGTGGCACTAGCCCACCCAAGACCCACCCCTAGAACCGCCCCTGCACATTACATCCAAATCCAAAATTTTTACCACCAATTTCGATTTTATGTTTCATTTACTAGAACGTTGAAATAAACGACCCAATGTTGAGATAAAAATGGTCAAACTTGTTTTGGGACTTTTTTGTCTTTGATGAACTTCTGTCTAAACCCTCCAAGCACTCCCATGTTTCACTTTTGCTGATTTGGCTGATGGACTTCCTGCTCGATGCAGAACTTGGTTTAAACTTCTAGTATGAACTTTAAAGACTCTTAATGCAGATGAACCTTTTCCACATTTCTAAACATTTCCTGCTATGTCACGACGACCATGAGGTCCTATCCATCCTTGAATCAAAACCAAAAACACAGTTTCATCTGTGCTCCCAAACCTTTCACCTCCATATCTACTCTGAAGACTTGAACTCATTTAGGATGAACATTCATCTCTTTTTGGCAAAATTTGGATGTAAATCTGTTGTTTTATTTAAATTTGACACTGTTGACTTGTTTTATTACCTATTTAATTATTTCTCGACATATTTAATTTGGAGTCTTTTTATGATATTTTTATGTGAAAAATTTTGTGACTTCTATCTTAAAAGATGCAAAATAACCAAAATTCTACTTAAATATTCCCCAAATGGAATTTAATAGTTTTGTGTTCGTGTGACTTATTTTTCTTTTTCACTTCTGTTCTGCAGCCTAAAAGTTTTTTTTTTTTTACAAATCAGAGCTGAGTCTTCATCAAAAAGGACAACTTTGAGGGTATAAAACTGCTTGAGTAAGTAAACAGTCCCACCTAGTGGTGTAAGCCGGATCTAATCCAAAATCCACAACAAATCCCATCTGTTTCATGTCTCTTTAAAAATCTCCTGCAAAAGACGAATTCATGTAATCAACTCAGTGACTCATCTCATGGTTTATTTCCATTAAAAACATTCATTAACATTCCTCCTCAACCTTGAGAAAATGATGACTAAGCCCTGATCTAGTCTGGCTGATGGAGGCGATTAAACTCCAGCAACTCCTTAGGTTATGTACATCAAGCATGCAGAGACGTTCCAGTGTCTTTGCTCAAAAGTCGTTCTGCTGACAAAGGCGGTAAAATCACAGCAGAGACGCCACACGCGATTAACTCCCAGATCATCTCCAGCGTACGCGTGAGGGAGCTGAATCTCCACCATCAGCTCGTTTGTGACATGAAAAAGACATTTTCAGATGGTTTTATCTCACGTGATCGCTGTTCCCATCTCCACAAATTCATCCTGATGAGGTTTTGAAGACAAAACAAATTTTAAATGATCTATGACATTCAAATGACTTCCGCACAGGTGATTATTAAAGAGCAGATCCAAAAGGTAGCACGTCTAAATAGCTTTATGAACAGACTGGAGAAATATATTCTACTCCCAAAAAAGGCTCCAATTTCCTAAATTTCACAGTATTTTGTACAAATGTTCATTTAAAGTGTCTTCGCCAATATCGGTTTCAGGTTTCATCACTATTTCAGAAGGAAAATTAGAAAATGATCCCTTTGATGCATCAAGAGTTAAATATTTCTAATGTTATTCATGATTGCAAATAACTAAATGATTCCAACTAAATACAATGAAAAGATAAATGTAATGATGGCCTAAAGGTTTGTCATGTTTTATCTTCGTTTTACAGCAGAGTCCACTTTAGTGTTGATTAGTTCAAATTTTCTACAGAAAGAGGAAACACTATTTTACCAAACTGTTGCTATTCAAGAAAATCTAAACTGAAAATAGCCAAGAAAATGTTAACAATTACAACTTTTACTCAACCCTCGTCAGCTATTGTCACATCCAGATGGAGCATCAGGATTAGCACCTTCATCAGAAACCTGCCATATCCAGTCCTGTACACATCTACTGCACTCTGGTGGACGATCTACAGCTAGCAAGAGTCAATACTTTTAGCTGTTTGTCATATTTAACACTTGGCCAGTTTATTGGTTTGTTTGATAAATGGGTGAAATGTCTGATTTTCAAATCAAGCAGCACAAAAAAACTTCCACTTCAACAGACTTCAACAAAAATGGATACAGGTTCAGAAACGTCATGCATCAGCTTTTATTGGTGACATTTTAGCATGCAGATTAGATGGAAAACGTCTAGATATCGGCCATCAGCTGACCCTGACCTCTACATATCTGCATCAGTATCGGCAATAGAAAATCCCATATCGGTCGATCTCCCACTCTCAGACCCTAGGTGTGAATGAGTGTGTGGTTGGTGTTTTGTCTCTGACTGTCCGTGGGAGGGGCTGGAGACTTGTACAGGGACCCCCGCCTGATGACTGTTGAGTTTTAGATGCTATCCCCATGACCCTAGTCAGGATAGAGCAGGCTGGATGGATAAGTAAGGACCATTGGTGCCCCAGTCATTGACTGCAAGTAGATGCAACATCAATTTTCTTATACTTTATTAGAACCTTATTTGCTTCATATGTGACTAATAAATTAATAAATAAATGTCAGATTACTGTTTAATGGTGTGTGTGTGTGTGTGTGTCCCCCAGCATTTGTTTTGTTCTGAATGCTAGTCTGTGATCTGACCGGGGCTCGAAGACGGGCTCGTGCAGACACTGATTCCTACTTCTACTTTAGCTTTTCTTCTGTTTAGTTCCCCACGCATCCCAACGCCATCACCACTTCAGGTCTACTCATACTATGGTCTCAAAATGCAGTTGCTAAAATAAGCTTTTGGAGAAAAATTTACAACAGTTTCTAATTGCTGTGCTTGGATAATTATAGTCTGTACCAGCAGAGTCAATTTGCATTATTGGGATAAAACCAAGCATTGCAGCTGGTTGAGGTTGGATGCTAGTTGCTGCAAAAAGAAGCACCAAAAACCCTTTTATGATCCTAGCCAGCTAGAGTGGTAGAAGTTTCATGCTGCTTAAAAGGGTTAAAACCCTAATTTTGAGTCTAGAAGTTGTTCCAAACAAAACGAGGACAAACTTACAGGAAATGAGACGCTTTAGCAAAAGCAACGTTAACAAATTCCAAACATAAAGCCGCAGCGTTCCTTGCAGGAACATCAACACTGCAGGATCTTGTGTGATCTGTAAGCACCAGAAGTTAGGAATGGCTCTCAGACCACATCAACGTTTAGCTCAGGACTGGAACACCTTTTTCCAAAGGTTTGGCCGGGTGGGCCAACGACAAACACCAAAAAAGAGCCATAACAGAATCGATGCTGTTCTCACAAACAGGTTATGTTAAATTACTGCAGGGAGGAACCCTTAGGGTGGCTAAAAGTTTATTAAAGTTTCAC